TCGCAGGGGAGGGAAAGGGCAATGAGAATGCTCAAGAATATGCTTCAGGAGAGACGGGGTAACCCACGGAAGAACCCTAGTGATTTCTTCGATTATGTCATCGAAGAACTGCAGAAAGAGGGTACAATATTGACGGAAGAAATTGCCCTAGATTTGATGTTCGTCCTGCTTTTCGCCAGCTTCGAAACAACTTCTCTGGCTTTAACCTTGTCCATCAAGTTCCTCACGGATTACCCTTCAGTCCTGAAGCGTTTAACTGTCAGTAAACCACTTTTCTCTGTCAATTCCGTGAAGAAAAATACACAAACTTAGCGTTTCCCCCATATTCCCGACGAAATTCTAAAGCTTTTCTCCTTCTGCAGGAGGAGCATGAAGCTATTCTGAGAGAACGGGAAGATCCAGACTCCGAACTTACGTGGAAAGAATACAGATCAATGACTTATACTTTCCAGGTAGCTTCAAGAACATCCAATGAGAATCAAGAAAATCCTAAGCATGGTACGCATGATTCAGCTAAAAACCCAAGTTTAAATTCTTGATGCAGTTCATAAACGAGACAGCTAGACTGGCGAATATCGTTCCTGCCATTTTCAGAAAAGCTTTGAGAGATATCCAATTCAAAGGTAAGGTAATCTATCTTTTGTTTGATTTAAGTGGTTTCCATTTTATTATATTAATCAATGAGAATTGGCTGATGATGATGATGGTGATGCAGGATACACAATTCCTGGGGGCTGGACAGTGATGGTCTGTCCTCCAGCTGTACATCTGAATCCAGACAGATATGAATATCCTCTTGTCTTCAATCCATCAAGATGGGAGGTTTGAGTCAAAACTTTCTCACATAACTTGTACACCAAGTAACCTCAAACATAATAACCAAATTCTAAAAAAAAAGCTTGTGCAAAGATTAAAAATGGAATCTTTTCAGGCATCAGAATCCAATAATGCATCTAAGAATTTCATGGCGTTTGGTGGTGGAATGAGGTTCTGTGTCGGAACTGACTTCACCAAGTTGCAGATGGCTGTGTTTCTTCACTGTCTGGTCACTAAGTACAGGTTCCAGAACAACATCTTTTTCTCCAAGTCACCTCCTCCATGCCCAAAAGGAGAGAAAACCCTAATGGATTTTGCCCGATGAATCATCGCAGGTGGCGAGAAATCAGCGGAGGAAACATCATTCGAACTCCGGGATTACAGTTTCCAAACGGGTATCGCGTTAAACTCACAAAGAGAGGGAATTCAGAAAGATATACATGAAGAAGAAGCTCGTAAAGCCTGCTAAAACAAGTTGCAATGCAGTAAGAACGGCAAATTCGGGCAATACATATGGAAAACCAGATTCCTCCTGAAATCATTGCCAGATTTCCAGCCAATTTTAGACAGTGATCCATACAAGAAACAACTCGAAAGAAAGCACGGGACGGGTATTACATATTACTCGTGCTTTTCGAGTGAAAACCAAGCAAAGATTTTTTGCTGTTCATCCCATCTGCAGTTTAAGTCTGTCAGATAGTGTAATGTGTGCTAGTTTTAGCTTTTCAGACATGTAAAAAGCAGACAAGATGTAGCTTTTTAACTCTCAAAATGAAGTAAAATTCTATAAAAATCAGTTTCAAGCAACAAGGGTTTTATTTTTACCCCTCCAACACATATTTTTACCACAAGGGCTTTTGATAATTCACATGATTCTGTACTCATGTTTCTTCAAGGGGATGAACAGTTTAATTTACACAAACTAGAGAAAATTTGTATTCCAAAGAGAAAAAACTTCAATTCATTCAATTCCAATTAACCCAACTTCAACCCACTTTTGTTTTAACATCATATGAAATTTGTGAATCATTGAAGTGCCCTACTTGAGTTGGTTGGGTTTGATGTATGTATATACACAATCACAAATCTTAAGCTTTAACAAATAAGAGATTCTTTCTTCAAGATAAACAACATAGCAAATGTATTAGTAATGTACACAATCAAATTTTTTTTTTTAAAAAAACTTGAAAAATAGATAACATTAGATGATGAGTTGAACACAAAGAAGAAGAAGAGGAAGATAGACAATATTTTTTGTATGAAATTGAACACAATCAACAGGTCCATTTGGAAGTAGGAACACAACTTAGGTAATGACACCATTTGCAATGCTTATTCCCATTCTCCCCTTTGAACAGCATCACCAGCCCCACTGTTAACCTGTCCTCACCAAAAGAAAACAGATGAGACATTCTCAGACGAGTTCTTGTTCCAAGAAAATTATACAAGAATCTAAAAAAGTGACAGTTTTCTTACCCGAGGACGAGCAAGAGGGCGGCGGTAATGAAGAGGCCGTACTGGCAAGCATTGTACTTGGGTTTGGTACGGACGCCGTACGAAGCAACACGTGATTCTTCCCAGCCGAACTGAGGCCGTACCAGGAGGACGAATCCGAGAAGGAATCCTGTCAAGAACCCTCCGATGTGGGCAAAGTTATCCACACGAGGAAGCATTCCGAGGGCTAAGTTCACGGCTATGATGAACACGAGCGTTAACAGGGCAGCAGCCTATAAACACGTGACAAAAAAGGGTATTCAAAACCCGATATAATACACGCTTCGGTGATTTGGATGGTTCAATAAAGTGCCATAGACAAAACACCAAATAGGAATCAAGCTTCACTAGACTATGTTCCGGTTTCTTGTCCTAAACAGCTTCAACAAATTAGGAGAATCAATATGCAGACACTTAGAGATTGATCAACCTATAACTGATCGAAATCGAAGAATAACAAAAAAATTTCAACAATGTTTCTGTCACGGTGGAAATACCACGTAGCCGACTTAATCGTACATTTGAAAACTGAAATTTTTTCATGCAATGTCTCCGATTATGACAATCCAATCAACTTTCTTAACTAAATCGATATAGGGTTTCTAATAATCTATCTAGTGAATATCCGATGTTTTTTTTTCGGGGGTTAGGTACGTACTTTGTTGGCGTAGATAGTCCAGTTGGTGAGGAGCTCGGAAAGCATAGCTCCAAGAAGTCCGAACAAAGCACCTGAGGCACCAACAGAGATACTCTGCTGAAGGAAGAGTGAAGATAATACGCTTCCACCGAGTCCCGACATGAGGTAGATCATCCCCACTCGTACTAAACACGTTATTTCAAAAGACGGGTGGAAACTATCGTTAGAAAATACCGATGAACATGGGAACAAGACAATATTAATAAGCCACAAGCCTGTGACAAGATCTAGTAGCTATCATCTATGATCAGAGCATAATGTCCGAGAACTGCATTTTTTAAGGTGAAATCTAAGACATAATAGAGAGTTTCACAGATGGAAGTGAATATATTGATCGGTAGAGTGCGAGAACTTACTGAAGCCAAACTGCTGTTCGAGGCGGATACCGATGAAGACCAAACTCAACATGTTTGTAAGAAGATGAATGACACCGGCATGAAGCCACATACAAGTGATGAGCCTCCATCCTTGATGTTCTTTCACAACTTTTCTCCATTCCAAAGCTCCCATTTTCTCCAATCTGAAACATAACCAAGTATGAATCAATACCGAGCAACCCACCATGGAAATGGAAACGAAGCTTCATAACTACCTCCACAGCATATTCACAGTCCCCTAAAGGTCATAATTCGAATTCCCGGGGGTCGTTTGATGAAAACCTTTCTAGTTATCAGCTAAGTACAAGAACAAACCTAACTTGTCACAAGCTCGAATCAGCATATGATCAACATCAAAACAATGGGCACTGGATGAAAAATTTAAGTTTAAAATTCAGGAGAACTGTTCTAGAGTTTTCTCAGAAACAGAAATATCTTGTATGGACAAATTGATTGGGAAATCACAGAGCAAAAAATGATAGGCGTTTTTTCGCAATTCTTTTAGCCGTTTAAATAGGATTGGAGCAGAAACCCAGTGGGGCAAAACCAGTTACATATTCACAATTAGGGCTGAAAAGTGGGAACTTTACAGAAACCCATAAGCTTGAACTTGATTTTCAAGGGCATTAAAGGACCAGAGAGATCAATTCGATCAAATTGTGAGCTTTGAATCTGGAAATCGAATGCTCTAAGAACTTACGTCGAAGAAGATGGACCAAAGAGAGGATTCTCCCTCAGAGGCTGAAACGAGAGCCTCCCGAGAAACCCAGCCACGCAATTTCCTCGGCCGCCGGAAACAGTTTTCGGACAGTCATTGACAAACATGACGGCGATGAAAACGCCGACGTTCGCCACAACGATCGCAGGGATCAGCCACGACGTCCACTGTGTGTCTCCTGAAGATTCATCGTAGAAATAACTGTTGTTTCCTCTGTTCTTCCCTCCTCTCTCCACATCTCTACTCGACATTGTTCTGCGAGAAATTTCAGAACCACTTCCTCGAATTTGTGAAGAACTCGATCTGGGTTTGGGTTTATATAAAGCCCTGTCAAATCGAAACCCCGAAATTGGGTTGGATTAACGGATCAAATACGGAATCGAGAGAGAAGTAGCTTGGAAGGAACAAGGGTGAGGAACAGAGGAGGAGAAAGAGACAGAGCATCGGAAATCGGAGAACATGGAAAGAGAGAAAAAATAAAGTTGTAACCTTTTTCACTCTTTTCCCTTTCTGGATTTGGGAGATTCAACCGTTGAATCGAATTCACGACAGAGAATTCTACCCTTTTCCCACTAAAACTATTCTCTCTCTCTCTCTCTCTCTCTCTGAGAAAGAAAGCTGCTTTTGGTGGTGTGTCAATGGCAGATTAGGCGGTGGTGACAGCCCTCCCAAGGTTTCTTCTCCTGGCTCTCCTGCTACTCATAACAACGAAAAAACCCTGAATCGAATACGTATACATACAGTATATATGTGTATATTTATATATTTATATATAATTTTATCTATATTTGTGAATTGGGATGAGAAATTTGGTCTGACATCTAACTCTAGAACTGCAATATGTCCTTTTTTTTTGTGTTGTTGTAGAAGATCCTGTTTTTACCGAGTCGCTAGAATCGAATATCTAATCCGTCAATTGGCAAAAATATAATTTATTTTGTTCTTTTTAATTAAATTGTTGTTATAATTAAATATCATTATAACACGCGTAAAATATCCCCTCAAAGCATAATTTCGAAATGCTGATTAGGAAAGTTCCTAATTATGAGGTTATTATCATTATTGAAACATCCATTCAATAGCATATGCTACAAATCCATTGACTAGTAATGATTGCATTTTAGTCATTAGTCCTTGAATCATTGCCGTAATTTCTGGTGAATATAACAACTGGAAGAAACTCATATATATCCAATTTATTACAAATCTTTGATTAATCGTGTATATAAAATCAATTATTTCACAAATATGATAAGATTAACGGGGTAACTAATCTCTATCAAAATTGTACCAAGAGGGCATCATCACATGAATAAAGAAGGCATGGTCCACGCGGTTTCATTTCATTGAGACAGACACGTCGAGTGTAAGGTGACAAGCAGATGCTGACATATACACATGCCTATATATATATGTATAGGTATGTATGTCATATACGATTCAACGTGTACGGAAGTTTAGATACACACGTGGTCGTGGAGCTTGCCGGCGTTAACTGAAGTTTTACTTAAATCGGATGACGGAGTTTAATATTGTGGACCAAATCCATGCGATACATATACGTGTATAGAAGAATTAAGAACCGTATAATGAATTGATACGATCTTGAAAAGGAGGGGCATTACCTAAAAAGATGCGATTATCAATCGCTTTCTGTGTACTTCTAAGCCTTTTGCCTTTTTTCTTTTTCTTTTCTTTGATCTAACATTAGCAAAAGCGTTAGATGGAAAGGGTTCCTCATTTTGGTACAACGGCCAGTTAACCGAGATTATTCGGATACGAATAACCCACACCCGGTTAACCACTCTGGTTCATTCCGGTTAACAACACGAGAGACTGCTGCAACACAACCAAGGAGATCTTATACATATGTAGCTTTAAAGATGAAAAATACGCTTCAACAAGTTTTGTTCTTTTAGCTTCAAGAATCATTCACAAGCATTTCCACATTTAGAAAACACGGTTTAGGCAAGAAAGATCCAAATGAAGGAACCATAGAACTAACAAAACTACGAGCATTAACCATCTAATCTCATCACTCGAGATGCCATGATATTGCCTTGCTAGGCTGCTTTAGCGGTTTCACGAACAAGGGCTAGCTTAGCAAGAAGGCCGCATAGCTGAAGATACGACCCGACGCCATCACAGATTCTCATATGAGCAAACCCGGTTTCCTATAATCATTTGCACAACTTAGGTGTGAGAAGGAATTCGGTTATTATCACAAGGATGATTGAGGGTTTAGGGTTTAGATTCGTGCATTGGGGGATAAATGATACCTTCATGAACTCTAATTTCAGATACTCAGCCATATCGTAGTTCTTTATGATGCGGAAAAGGGTCGTGATGATATCGGTTGGGGAGTAGCCAAGATCATAGAGCTGCTTCAGACCTTGACAAGCGCCGTCAAACTTTCCTTCCAATACATTCCTAACCATGTTTTTGATGTGAAGCGGGTGAGGCTGGTCACAGACCTAAAGACAGAAAGGAAGAAACAGGTGAAGATGGTCATAGAATGAATACATATGTTTAACCAGTTGATAACTGGGTTTGTATCAAACCTTGAAGACGTTTTCTTGGTTGACAAATCGAAAACCACTGTTTGTGGCTTGCAAGTTGTTCAGAGCTTGTCTCATGTCACCATCAGCAGTGAATATAATTGCTTCGAGGCCTTCTGGTAGATAAGGAACCTTGAGAGATCATGAACGTGGGCTTATTAGACAGGTCAAGATTCAAGAATGAAAACAAGGTTTCTTGTCTGCAGTAAGCAGAGAGAGAAAGGGGCCATCCGTACATGCTCTGCTTGAACCACCACCATGAGACGGCCAAGTATCTCTTGATCAGACAATCTAGAGAATCGGACTAGGGCACATCTACTCTGGATAGGTTCAATAATCTTGGCAGATGTATTGCACGCAAGAGCAAAACGAGTAGAGTTTGAATATATTTCCATCGTTCTCCTCAGGGCTTGTTGTGCTCCAGATGTCATGCTGGATATGTGAATTCAATACAGAAAGTTAGGAAGCTAATCAGAAAATCATCCGACAATGAATATGCAGTTCTGTTTGAAGTTGACAGAGAAGTGATTTCTTGTCTAAATTTCTGTTTTAAGTTGACAAAGTGGCTAAATTTCTTGTCAGAAACTCAGCAGCACTAACTAACCTGTCAGCTTCATCTAAAATGACAACCTTATGACGGCCCGGGGGAAGAGTCACTTTCTTCTGAGCAAACATCTTAATCTTGTTCCTAACAACATCGATACCCCTACACCAGGACACAAAACCAAAACAAAACAGAACATGAAGAATAACATGGAAAATCAAACGAACAAAGAAAGATAAGAAACAATACTCAACACCGAGATCATTGATAAAAGATTTGGCATCAGATACCTGTCATCAGACGCGTTCAGCTCCAGAACAGCCTCCCTATAATTTGGGCCAAGAAGCTCATGAGCAAGAGCCAGTATGCTTGTGGTCTTACCAGTTCCGGGAGGACCCTAAGGATATAGAATATAAGTAAAGTAGCAGACAAACGCCTCTCAGCTTTCTACTTGTAATGCTTAGATTTTATAATCCTATGCATCATGCAATCTCGATTTTGTCAGAATATCGATCCAGGCCGAGAAATGGATAAAATGCAGATTATTTGATAAAATAAACATATCATGCAATACAATAACTTCGATCAGCAACATAATTACACACACCGAGATATTACAGAAAGAAGTCAGGCCTTCAATGTTAACTTCACCATTTGAAGTGGTTTTACTCATAGTGAGAAAGCTTTGGAACAAATCAATCAGACCCCGACAACGTAAGAACCTCAATAAACCTTAATTTGACAAAGCCAAGTTATCCCGAAATCTAAAGATGGAACAACTTGCCTCGATTTCCCTCCGGGAGATCACAAATTCCCTCCGTCAAAGATTCAGATTTAGCAGGAAAAACCCCATGATTACGCAGACACTGAACTAAAAAGTGTGGTTCGACCCAGAATTCAAAACGAGGAAGAACAGAAAATCTCACCGAAAGGATAAGATTAGGCATGTTTCCGTCGCGAGCGATGACTTGAAGACGAGAGACGGTGTCTTCATTTCCAACGATATCGGCGACCTTGCTCGGCCTGTATTTCTCTACCCACGGCATGTCGTAACTGCCTCCGACGCCGGTTGAAGACGAAGACGCCATTATCCTCCCTAAGAGAAGATTCTTCGCCGATGAACTCGAAACCTGGAGCTCCGACTGATGAGATTTAGGGGTTTTCTCTTGTTTGGAGGGAAAATCGTGGGAGGGTCCAAGGGTTTTTTTCATATGACCATTTTGCAGAATAGGTCTTGTAAAATAGTATAATACGAAATTTGTAGTAAAGTATGGAATCTTTACAATGTAGCCCGTAAATCTTGAATATTACATTTACACCCTTTAGTCTTGGTTGTCGCAGTCGACATAAATAACTATAAATAATTTTTAGATTCAAAGCATCATATATTACTTGTCAGAAAATTTCCACCACCATCATCGTTTCTCTCCTCTCTAGAATCGTAACCCTAGCAGTCCAATTTCTACTTTGAGATCGTAATCCCTCATTTTTATGGCGTAAAGCTATACGAATCTCAACGATTTAGGGTTTCTGAAGAATCGAAGAAAGGGGCAGAGCACCAGAGGGAAGAAACAATGTCAACGGAGACCACCGGGAATTCAACACCGCTGCCATCGTCCTCGTCCTCGTCAATCGATTCGTCTCCCTTACTTTTGAATGGCGGAAGCAATGACGGAAGCGTCGGCGGAGGTGGTGAGAACGGTCAAACGAGCGGCGGAGACCGGCGATCCGTGCGGAGGCAGGGCTTGAGGGAGGCGGCAAGGTTTCTCCGGCGAGCGAGTAGCAGCCGGATTATGCGGGAGCCGTCGATGATGGTGAGGGAGACGGCGGCGGAGCAGCTGGAGGAGAGTCAGAGCAATTGGGCATACTCGAAGCCTGTGGTTGTGCTCGACATCGTATGGAATTTGGCGTTTGTCGCCGTCGCTGCGGCTATTCTTGTGTTGAGCCGCGATGAGAAGCCAAACATGCCTCTTAGGGTCTGGATCATTGGGTATGCTTTGCAATGCGTTCTGCATATGGCTTGCGTGTGCGTGGAGTATCGGCGGAGAAGGACTAGGAGCTCGAGATCTCGCTCTTCTTCGTCTTCGTCTTCGTCTTCGTCTTCTGCCATGGAGGAAGAGGGTTTGGGTTTAAGCAGCAATTCAGGGGAACGGTACTTGACATTAGGGCAGCATGAGCAAGAACACAACAGGTATCTTATATTATATGTATTGTGTCTGTGGTTGAAACCTATCTATATTTTGAATCGAAGTAACACAGATACTTGCTTGGTGTGTGAGTTTTGGTTTTGTTTGGTGATAATGCCTTATGGCCGATGTTCTTTGCACATAATTAGTAGTTGCTTCCATCTGATCAAAACAAAAACGCAGAGAGATGGCTTTCAAGTTTCTTTATTGAAGGTTGATTTCTTTGGGGTCTTTGGTGAAAGCTAAAGTATCAAACTTGCTTGGGAGTTGGAGTTGTATTGTAATGATAGAGATCTTAAGTTGTTGAATCTATGGTCCTTTGTTGATAGATATGCTAAGAAAGGTTCTGATATGGTATTTAAGACACTGAAGCTCAATTCTTCTTTTGCTTATATTTTCAAATGAGTGCTTATATACTCTATCGTCAATTGTAAGTTAAACTTAGAAAACCAGCTCTCTCACCTTCTTCAAATAGTATGGTCTTATTTGAAGTATTGCCTTGGCATGTACTAAAAGTATCTATATATAATGTTACAGTGTAATGAATCTTAATGGGACTTGTGGGAATAGAGTGATTTTCCTTGCCAGATGTTAGATCTTTATAATCTATCGACACTCTATGACCCGGCATCTCTGTGTTGTGCTTCTTGATATTCTGTCCATTCTTTTGTTTACCAGAAGGATTATGCGTTTTTCTTATGTATATTCTTATGTCTTACTATATCCTGAGCAGTGTTGCAAAGCATCTAGAATCTGCCAACACAATGTTTTCATTCATTTGGTGGATCATTGGATTTTACTGGGTATCTGCCAGTAGTCAAGACTTGGCACGAGGATCCCCCCAGCTTTACTGGTTTGTCTCTATGCCCTTCTGAATCGTGTTGAGAGCATTGACCAATCCAGACATTGTTCAAATGCTTCATTTGCTGCAGGTTGTGTATAGTGTTTCTAGGTTTCGATGTGTTCTTTGTCGTCTTCTGTGTTGCGCTGGCTTGCGTGATTGGAATGGCTGTTTGCTGCTGTCTACCATTCGTCATCGCAGTCTTATATGCTGCTGCAGATCGGGTACTTCTCATAACCTATCTTCCATTTGTTTAAGAAAGATAACACTTATTCCTCTCATATTAAGCCCATTTGATCTCGTGCAAAAAACACATTTACGTAGATCGTTACTGGACCTCATCTTCTCCTAAGTCGTTACTGGATCTCATCTTCTTCTCCTAGGTTTTCCCTCTTTCTGATCGTACTAATTCTTACATGATAACTCAGGAAGGAGCAACCAAAGAAGACATTGAAGAACTTTCCAAATTCAAATTCCGGCGGGTTGGTGACTCTGACAAGGGTGAAGTCCAAGGAAATATCGGGGGAGTACTGACCGAATGTGGTACAGACTCGCCCATCGAGCACACTCTGCTGCAGGAGGATGCAGTAAGTGCACAGAACTCATACATCAACGCCTTATATACATACCGACCCTTAATCAGAGAATCCATAACCATAATCCTCACACTCATATCCATATTTCACCTTAATGAATATGTAAAAATCTGTTGTAAAGATTCTAGTTTGACAATCGTGTAGGAATGCTGCATTTGTCTATCGGCGTATGAAGACGGAGATGAACTAAGGGAGCTCCCTTGTGGGCACCATTTCCACTGCGCATGTGTAGACAAATGGCTCTTCATCAACTCCACCTGCCCTCTCTGTAAATTCAACATCCTCAAGAGCAGCAACGACGACAGAGCAGAACAAGTCTAGTACTTCTCACTTCTGCATGATGTCTTATTTGCTGTGAAAAAATTTCTCTTGGGGGATTGTTTGTATCTGTATGAATGCTTTATGACTTGTTCACATTTTGATGTTGCCATTTTGTATTGATGATGGTTGTCCATATTTCTTCTCCTTTTTTTCCACTGTACATTTTTCTTCTTTGCTTCGTTTGCTGTTAATTTTAAAAAAAGAAAAGAAAAGAAATCCAAATAAAAAACATTTGTAGTCACTTTTATTTATTATCCCTAGATTTTAAGGCAACACAAAGGAAGGGAGGCTTCAGATTTTATCCAAATGGTTTGGTCCTTCTGAGAACAAGACATACAAGGTGCTCTTTTTATACTCGTCTTCTCCGTTTCTATTCAATCATTATCTTCGCTGAACCGAATTTCGCAGCTTTCACGTCGCTCCGTCGTGATCTTCCTCAGTCTCTGACGCTTATCTTTTGCTATGTTTCGATCTTTATGTGCGTTCTGCAATAGCTTTTTACAGCCAAATATCGAAGCTCTCTCATGCCCGTGCATCAATCTATATCCGTTTCGGACACTTTCGTGCTGATTATTGGGAGTTTTGGTTTCAAAGTAGGGGTTTTTATCATCATCTTCTTCTTGGGTTTTGTTGAAAATCCCGATTTTTTGTTAAGTTTCTTGAAGGGTTCGCTAGCAGGAGATGCATAGTTTTCATGCTCGACAAGTGTTCGATGGAATGTCTCAAAAGCATGTGTTTTTATGTATGGTTTAAGTTTGAACCTCTAATCTCCATAGTCTTTGTTCTGTTCTCTTTTTTGTTTTGTAGATAGAGTTATTGGCTTTAGATAGCTTGTATCGTTGATAACAATCTTGTCTTTCGTAATTCATTCTTCAACTCTGTTGGAATGGGCAGTGTTCTGGATGTCCTGTTGTTGCAACGAAACAGTTCTGCAACAGAGAGTTCAAATTACATTGTTTTGACTGTCTTCTTCCTGAATTTACTTCGCATGTACCTCTTCGATGAGCACTGTAGCGTTTCTTTTGATTGTATCTAACTGCTTCTTGATCAGAGTTTCTTGGATTTACTTTGCATTTGATGCAGACTCCTTCTGTTTTAAGGCTGCCCTCATCATATCTGTGACATAGAGATCTTCTTGTCGGCAAATACGAGAGATTGGCATGGCGGCATCAGCTTCAATGCGATTCTTTGTTCTACTGAAAGAGTTTTCTGCCTTCAGGAGAGTATCATCTGTTTCTGCTACAGCTTATTGCCACCGGCAAGGACGGTTTTTGTGTCATGTCGGGAAAGAAGATGGGCCTCTCACTCTTGCAAACCTCGGGTTGGAGAACAAGCCTGGAAGAACTGGGAAGAGTAAGGCGATAAAGCTTGAACCGGTTTCTTTGACTGAAGCACCCCCAGGTAAAGTTAGAATGGCTAAGACTAGTGGAATTAAAACAGCAAAGGGAAAGAAACCGGTTGAGATAGTAACTCCTCTGTTTTCTGCAAAGTCGTTTCTCGAACTTGGCCTACCGGATCTATTGTTAAAGAGCTTAGAAAGGGAAGGTTTCTCTGTTCCCACAGATGTCCAATCTGCAGCTATTCCTACGATAATTACGGGGCATGACGCTGTAATTCAGTCTTACACAGGATCCGGGAAAACCCTTGCTTATCTACTCCCTATATTATCTCAAGTTGGGCCATTAGCCGAAAAATCTGGAAGTTCATCTGGTGAAAGCGGTAAGAGGATGGAAATCCAGGCCATGATTGTGGCTCCTTCACGGGAACTTGGGATGCAGATAGTGAGGGAGGTGGAGAAATTGCTTGGATCAGAACACCGAAAAATGGTTCAG